ATAAAAAATTATTTTAAACAAAGCATCTATTTGTGCAGTTGTTCATACATTCATTGATAATCAAGCCCTGTAATATCTGTTAATCCATACTGCCTTAAAAATGGTGCCAAAGCCGCTTTAGCAAGATTATATATTAAAATTCAGAGTAGTATAAAATAAAAAATGGGTGAGATGTTCTGGATTGGATATGAACTAGAAGAAGTATAACTACGTCGTTAGTTGCTTGGAAGCAAAAAAAAAGTTTAATATGCAATTAACTTATTTGTTATACCGTATTACCATATTACTTGCCTGAAATTGCCTTCTAAGTAAAGTTTTTAATGATAATGATCTATACTGATCTTTTTTCTCGAAAGGTGTATGAAGAGTTAAAGAACACTATAATATGTTCTAAAAAAAAATTTATTATGCAAAACTATGAGTTGCCAATTGACGATGTGGCTTTTCATAGTAAAGGTTACTTTAAAATTTTTTTTATATTGTGTAACCCAGTGATCTTCAAGCCAATCAAATCGAATGTCCGCTATGCTTAAATCTATTAGTTGTAAATAAAGTTGCTATTGAATACAAAAAGGTGTTATTCACATATATATTTAGAAATATAATAATTTGATAATATTTTTTTTGTCAAAGGCATTAAATAATTTAGAAACAGTTTCTAATGATTATTCTTTGAATACAGATTCTACCTCTCCTGAAGTATTAAACAACAAAACATGTTGTTTTTTTGAGCCTTCTGGTTTTTTTATTGTTCATAAAAATGTTTAGTGCGAGAAGTAAAATAATAATTCATTGCTGAATGCGATGATCCATAACAATGTTACTTGTGTGGTCTTTTTGAAAACTCAATTGATTGTAAAATTTTCAAGACAGGTATATAAAAAAGATGGGTTGTTGTAAAAAGTTTGTTGATTTAAATGACATATTCATTTCAGTCTCTTTTATTAATAAAAATATCATATTTACGTAATAAGCAGTGTTGGCTTGACCAGACCAACTTGACCATTTGACCAGACCAATTTGACCAGTGACTGGTCTGGTCAAGGTATCTTAATACTGGTCAAATCGGTCAATGATTTGGTTACACTGACCAATTTGACCAATTTGACCATCGGTCAAATCAGTCAAGTGATCTGTTACACAGACCAACCTGACTGATCTGACACGAACATGACGATTTATAGAATCAATTTATAGAATCAATTTATTAAAAGCACTATATAGTTTACTTTGTTCATATTTTAAAAACTTTTCTAATTCATACTGTCATTTATCATTTATAGCGAGACGTGGTGAAGTCTATAGAATGAAAGACAGGGACTGAAATTATTACAAGATTGGACAAAGCAATTAGTCAAACTAGGCAAGAGAAAATTGAGAACAAAGTTAACAGCAAAACTAAAAAATTCTTTTATTACAACAAATTTCCTAATAAAATATTTATTTTCTACATATAAAATGTTTTTACTTTTTATAAAATATTTACTTTCTATAAAATATTTACTTTCTAGACCACAGAATTATCTTCAACACATTGTTGGAGAATATGAACAAATGAGGGTTGTGATAAATCACATGCAAAAAGATATTGGAGATCAATTTTTGAATCTTCATATTCAGCTGGATGATAATTGTATAGGTCTGTAGTATTAAAAGAAACTGTGCTTAATTCTTCAGTTTCCTCATCATTTTCATCCTCATTATTATCATTCTCATCTTTGTTCTCATTCTCATCATCATTATCACCAACTTTGACCCATTCTCTAATAATAGATTCTTCGTTAGTTATTTCTTTATTTTCATCATTACTATAATTATCATTGCTATTTAATTATCGTCAATGTTATAACTATCATAATTAGGTAATTCACTATTTTTATACACGATTTTAGGACCATCTAATTTACTATTTAATTCAATATTAACTGGTCTCAATGATTTATCAGTATAACTTGATTCAATGTTCGAATTATTAGCAGAACTTGATTCAATGTTCGAATTATTGGCAGAACTTGATTCAACATTTGATTTATTAGCTGGACTAGTAATACGGTTTATAGTAATAGCTTGGCGAACTTTTTTAGCATTCTCTAATTGTTCTTTCCATGCCATTTCAGCTGCTACTTGAGTCATTCTAAAGATTGTTTGCAACTGCGAACAAGATAAGTTTATTTAATATAAATTTATAAATTTAGAATATATTATTACTTACTTTGAGGCGATTGCGTCTTGGACTTTGAAACCATCTCATTTTGAAAAAAAGACACTCGCATAGTGTTGAGTTAATTTTAATACTATACAATCTGTAAGCAACTTTACTAATTTCTTTTTGATTAATTGCAGCAAATTTCCAATATCGTAATAATGCAAGCCTATTTGCATTTTTTGTTTTAACCTTTGTTGTTAAAATAGCTTCAAGGATATTTTTAAATCTTTCATTACTAAACATACCACATTTCATATAATATTTAGTTAATTCTAGTATAACACGTTGTAGCTTTACACCAAACCACATTTCATGATAATATTCAATCCATTTCGTTATTCTTTCAAGAGAAAAAAAATTAGCATCAAACAAAGCCTGAACCCGATATTGCAGGTGAAAAATAATTGCTAAAAAAAGAAGAGGTTGTTCCCAATCTGCTCATCTTCTTTTAAGCTTCTGTTGCATTTGATAACTGAATTTGTCTAATTCATTTTTATATTGCTGTGTTACATATCCAAAAAGCATAAATAATGTCAAAAAGAGTGGCTGTATCACATTGAAGATAGTCCAGGATGCTAACAAAAGGTAGAAGGTGTTCTACTAATTCATCAAGGTATGTTCAAAATCGATTACTATTAATAGCAGTTTGAGATTTATCTAATAACTCAGAAGAATTTGGATATAAAATTGAATATGACTATAAAGCACGTTTGCTTCTTAGAAGTGTTGCTGTTCATCATGAAGTAACAATATTGCTTTCGAATGCCATTGATTAGTAAAATATAATGCAATTCCAATTGCTTGCTTTAGTGTTTGCTTATATGCAGACGAAATTTTGAAAATATTACCAATGTACAGGTTTGCCTGGTGCGCGAAGCAAGAGAGAAATGTAATATCACGCTTTTGCAATCACATTCTGCATCTGGTAAGTAAATATATACATTATTTCATGATTCAAAATAAAAACAAATATATATATATTTTTTAATAAGTCTTTTTTTCTTGTTCTCATTTTTATTTATACATACCATGCAGAGGCATATGCTGAAGCACTATCTGTAACCATCATCACCACATTAAGGTTCTGACTACTAGCACGTGCCAAAAAAGTGTTAATTATGTTTAGTACTTCATGGGTCCTCTGTCTTTGATTGCTAATATCCTTAGCACCCCAAATATAAAGCTAGTTTGTTGCAGAAAGAATAGCAGCATCTAAAATTTCCTGGCAACGTACATTTTTCCAACTATCGAACATAATTGTAATTGGCTCCTGTAATTCAGAAAGTTTGGAAATTTTGCTTTGTTCTAATTTTTCCGCATGTTTAATTAGAATTTTACTGCTTAACAATTTGCGACTTGGAATTTTAATAGTCAGATTAAAAAAATCGATGAATTTATAGAGTGTGCTACATTCAACAAATCAAAGAAAGAGCCTATTTTGAACTACTAATCATAGAAGAAGATAATTAAATTTATTCTGTTGGTTAGTTGATAATGGCCGAACAACATATATATCAAGTATAATATTTTTTTTTTTGATTTAAATTTTCTTATTTCATTTATTTGAGATGAGCTTGAAGTTTCAAATACATGATCGCTAAGTATTGATTCCAACACGTTTGAAGCCCTAGAGTTTGATGAAACAACAAACATAGGTGTGTTACTTCACTCTCTTGCTTGTCGCAATGCTCTGACAGCATTACGTGACATATTTTTATCGGGTCTTCATATATTATTACTTCTTGATCTTTATCTACCCAAAATTTACACTAGTATTGACAGCGTTTTCAGTGTTATTGTACATGATCCCACCTGTTAATAAACCTGTATTGTTGATATACTTCCCACAATTGAAGACTTTTATTTTTTTTCTTTTCAAATATTTGTTCTTTACTTTCACAAGCTTTGCAAATAGCTTGCTTAGTTGTTTGGCTTGGGCCTAATTTATCTTGAATGTAGACATATTTTGTTAATCTATGAGTGTAAGTTTGGGCCTTTTTTTTTTTTTTTAATACTAACACTGATTATTCTTTGTGCTTTTATATTTGGCCAATTTAACATCAAACTAGCTTAGTCTAAAGCGTTAGAATAACATTAAACTTGGCATTGATAAACTCTGAATACTAAATATAATCTGCATGTTCTTGTTACAGTACACTCTCTCAAATCTGATACGCATAGTAGACAGCTTTTGTATCGGTTTTGAGAGGTTATTAGATTTAAAAATTGATTTAAAATACCAATGGCATACTGTTACATGATCACAAATAAATATTATTGGCTAGATTATATTTTTTATATATATAATCTATTGGACAAAACCCGATTTGAGCTAATCAAATCGATTTATATTACCTGTCAAAACCGATATCTGGTCTTTTAGGTATTGGTTATCAGAAATAGTAGGTTATTAGATTTTAATTATGGAACAGACATGGTGAATCAATTTTTTATTGGTTATAGCAGTTTATCGGTTTCGACAGGATTGGTTTTGGGAGGGTGTACTGTATCTTTAAAATATTTTCATGAATTATTTCCAAAAAATCGAATTGGTATTTAACATTATGTATGGGTATGTATTTGCTTACAAAGAAAAATACAGAAGAGAGAAAACAAAAAACGATATTAAATTGGTAATTGTTTTTCTATACCTCCCATCTATTAACTTTTATTTCTACATATCATCAATTGAAGTGTATTAATTTTAAAAATCAAAATGAATTAGAAAATCTTTAACATTCTTTAGGACTTTACTACTCATAATGATAACAATAAGACGTGAACTTGTAAGTTACAGGCTAATGCATATTCATTCACATGAATGACCAACAATTTATAGAAATTTTAGTTACAATATAATTATATTGTCCAATCATGCGCACAATTCTAAAAATGTGCAATTTGCCCATCTTTAGATATTATCATTTCTATGGAAAAAAAATAAAAATCACCTGCATTTGTATGTATATTCCATTTTATGTTTATCAGGAATAAAAGATAATTGGCATAAGTTAACAACTTGTTTTGTATTAGATTTTATTTGTTAAACTTGTATCATTTTCAAATAGGACATAATATCATATCTTGGCTGACACAAATTATCACTGTTTTTGAATTAGTGCGATCAATGAATTTTGATAAATCCCATGAACTCTGCATGTTACTATTGTTTTAACAATGGTAACATGCAGGGTTCGTGGGATTCACAAAATTCATTGATTGTACTAATTCAAAAACAGTGATAATTACCCAAGTAATTTTTATTCACTTTGCAGGTTTTTCTGATAAATGAGAGAATTAGCCAGGTGCAGCCACCCCAAAGTTTGAGGTGTTATAAATCATTGCAGCATTATTGTCAAAATCCTTTGGATATATTAATACTAGGCATTACTGCTAATGCATATTGAGTTGCCATTAATAGAATCAAGCAGATTTATTGTTAATATTGCCAAAAATAATCAAGATATTTGGACGTTACATGTAATAGTAAGTTTTAAATCTTAATTATTTGATATTCACTAATAAGTTCAATGCTTATACTTTGTATATTTATCAATTTTAGAGTTAAAATAGTACTTAGTTTTGGTTAAGTATCTGATTAACAAATATGGTTTGTTTGTAGATTATTATGTTAACTAAAAATAGAAAAGAATTGCAATAAAGATTTAAGTTTCGTGTTTGCTAATAAATAAATTTCTTGTTTTGCTTATTTGGATTATTTTATATACTAGTCTTTTTTTAAAGTATCATAATAATTAGTAATGAATTATCAGATAATTTGGTACAAATTAATAACAGACCAATTTGACCGAATTGATCATAGTTAGGTTGGTCAAATTGTCCGATTGGTCCATGTAACTATATCTTTGACAAATCTTAATTATTACCATTATACAAACTGATTAGACCAATTTGACCAATTTGACCATGGTCAAATCAGTCAAATCGGTCTGATTGGTCTATATAACCATATCTTTGACTAGAGTTGTTAAATAGAGTAGGTCACTCCAGAGTGGCTCCAGTTTAGAGGTCTGCAAATTCCTAATTTTAAGGCCCGGGCTCAGCCCGCAATTAGAGTTACAAATTTTTTGCCAGCGTGAGCCCGCCTGCAGCTAAAAATTTTTTGTCAAGCCTGGCCCGTTTTGGCCCAGCCTACAAATTTTTAATATAAATTTTTTCAAAATTTTAGCCCGGCCCGGCCCACAATTATAAAAATTTTTTTTAGGCCGGACCGGGCTTTGGAACCCAATACAGGCCTCTACTCCAGTTTGACTTCAAACCAACTTGGAGTAGATTAAAATTTAATAAACTAGAGTAAACCACATTATTAAACCAGGCTAATAAATGAAGTAAACCAGTTTATAAACTGGAGTAAACCAGTTTATTAAACCAGTTTAACAAACCAGTTTAATAAATCAGTTTAATAACCCAGTTTAATAACCCAGTTTATTAAATAATATATATACATGTTATATCTTTATTTTACAAATAGCATGTATTAAAAGTAACATGTGTTGGCTTATTTTACAAAGTATAATAAAAGTGACA